CATTTGGGACACCAAAGCAGAGGTACCATGTGTGGTCCGGGACGTCAGGGTTTGGGAACGGGCAACGATCTAGGTGAGTGATTCCCAGATGGGGACTTGAACTAATAAGAAAAGGAACGCGGCTCATCAGGTCAATACTCCAAGATGCCAGAAGGGAAGCAGCGCACAGCCTCTCAGTAGGCCTCGCATACCAGCACTTAGTGCCACGGTTCCCACACTTACAATTTAGGATGAGTCATTTCTCCCACAAATGTTTACTCTAAATTTAGACGATGACCACACATACATCTCCCATGCAGACTGCATACATTACAGGTGTGCTTTTTAGAATCCAAGCAAGAGTGACTGCTATTTGGAAGATGGTATCTTCTAGAACACACCAAAGGAGCTCTTAGTGGGGAGAAAATTGCAGGCTCCTCCCTACACTGGGTCCTGAATCCTGGATTAGCCACTGCCTGTCGCCTTCTCAGTTCTTATAAGGATAGAGCTGTGAGACACATCTGTTGCCTGGAGGCCACAAGCTCTGGCTCTGGCTCCAGCCTCAGAGCACCTTCCTCAGCTGAAGAGCCTTTCCAGAGGAGTGATGCCTGGACACTCAGCCTGGCACAGCAGGGAGCTTTACAGGCACTGAGGCAAGACTCTGGCTCCATCCCAGGTTCCCTGTGGAGGAGGGAGCTGGCCAGCAGGATGGGAAAGCAGCTGAGCCAGGTGACCTCAAGTCAGCCTGAATGCCACTTCAGGATGACCTCATTGAGGCTAGGTTAGCAGGCCAGGAGGGCAGACGAGCTTCTCAGCATTCTGGGTATGAGCTGAATATCTGCCTACAGCCTTAGGTAGAGGGCCAAACCCTCCCTCCTGGCAGCCACTGCTATACAACTGACTTTCAGGGCCCTTGTCTCTCAGGACAGGCAGAGAGGGCCAGTCTGACTCACCCCCAAATCACCGGCTAGAGTGTGCAGAAGTGGAATTGTAAACAGCTGGATGTTTTCCAAGCTGTCACCCAGAGCTAGGAGGGAAGCAATCAGTGCAGGAGACAGCCACTCTCCGCCATGCAGCTGAGGACAAGGGAGCAGTGGGGGATTTCCACTTAGAGCCCTGTACTGCTTCCTAGGCCTCAGGCTCAGTGTCATAATGGGCTGAGGGCTGATGTTAAGAGACTGTTGTGGTGGTCAATCAGCTTCTGCAGTGACTTCCAACAGGCCAGGGTACCAGGAATGCTAGTCAATCCCGGCTGCAGGGGTCAAGGCAGAGTCTAGTCTGTTCTGTTTAACAGGTCTGTCACAGGAAGGTGTCCAATGCCCTCCTGCTCAAGGACTCCCAGCCTGTCTCCATCACAGGGCTCTGGCAGATGCTATGACAGCAAGGGAAAGGCTCTACAGAGGTATCCCAGTCCCAGGAGGAGGAGATCCAGAGTGGCAGGGCAGAATAAATGCTGGTTCTGGCTGCCACCTGTGATAACCGCAGGCACAAGCTGTTCACCAAGTAGTCTCAGTTTCTCTCTCTTTATGAACAATAAATTACAGTTTGTTTATGGGGAATGCTGGTTTTGATTAAATGATGAAGCAGAAAGACACTGGGCTTACCCTAGCCTGTGATGCCACCAGGCTACACTAGACCTCAGCCTCCTGAAGTGTGACATGTGTGCCTCCAGAGAGAAAATTAAGATCACAAGGCACAACACTCAGATGTGGCCCTCACCTCACTCTCACTAAGCCCGACCCCACCCAGTCCCACACGCCAGCCCTCGAGCCTTGTTCCTGTCTCCCATGCTGTGTCTGCTGAGGGTATACCCCGTGCCTTGTCTTTGCACACCCAAGGTCAGTCTTCACAAAGATGTTATTTATCTCTACTTTGCTACGACTGCAACGTAATATAAGTGCTCTGCTCTTCAGGGAAAGCCAACTTGATTCACCATCACCAAGACTATTACTCCAAAGGCCAAGGAGACAAACACCAAATTCCCTATGGCATCTTTCCTACAGAGGCTAACAGTCATCATTAGACAGTGCAGAAGGACCCCAGAAACCAAAGGGTTTCTGAGTCTTGTCAAAGGAAGAACTTCTACCTAGGAATACAGGGCTAGGGTGGAACTTACAATGCCAGGAAGTGGTTTCCCCTGTGAAATGAAATCAGTTTAAAATGCTAAAAATAAACTCATGGAAGACAGATTTTAAAAATTCCAGTAAATGTTCTAATTATCTTCAGGCTAGTCATAGGGAAATACAATGATGCCCCCTGATATGCTAACTTCACTATTTTTGGCAGCTAACTGTGGGATCATTGAAGGTAACATAAATGGCAGCCAAGGAGGGGATGCAGGAGATGGCACCAGCCTCAGCTGTCTGGTCTACATAATGGTCCAGATGGATCCGTTACAAGTTAATTCTGATGGGTTCTCAGAAAGCACTACTCTTATTAATGTTTAACTGTATGACAGAGGGGTGTGTATATGGACATGAGAGGTGGGTCTCTGTGTCACATGGATCCTGGGACATAAGTCTGGGGGTCAGGCTTGGCAGAGCCCCCTTTTTTTTTCGAGACAGGGTTTCTCTGTGTAGCTTTAGAGCCTATCCTGGCACTCACGCTGTAGACCAAGCTGGCCTTGAACTCACAGTGATCAACCTGCCTCCTGAGTGCTGGGATTAAAGGCGTGAGCCACCAACGCCTGGCTGGCACATGCCTTTAATCCCAGCACTCGGGAGGCAGAGGCTAGGTGGATCTCTGTGAGGTCAAGACCAGCCTGGTCTACAAGAGCTAGTTCCAGGACAGCCTCCAAAGCCACAGAAAAACCCTGTCTGGAAAAACAACAAAAAAAAACAAAAAACAAAAACAAAAACAAAAGGTGTGTGCCACCAACGCCCGGCTCATCCCACACTCTTAAGTATTGTTTGTTTTTGCTGCTGCCTAGGTCAACTAGTAGCTAAGTACTGATAACCCCATGTCTGGAAAAATGGAACAAATCCACTTTAAAAGAATGCATTTGCTTCACATTAATTTTAGATTGTCACTTGCTTTGGTTGTTTCAAATGTTAACACTGCTGTGTAGCTCTGGGCCATACCCAGATATCCTGAAGATATCACTAACTAGGAATACTATGCAGTGTTTGAGGCATGAGAGCTGTGCAGCTAGGGCTCTGAAAGTAATTCTCAGTAGTCATGAACCTTTGTTTTCTTGCTGAGGGTTTCAACATGACATCAGGCCTGGTCCCCCTAATCCACCAAGGAGGACTTCATTATAACATGGCATTGAAGTCATCTTTTCCTAATATTTGACCACTAAGTATGCTTTAAAGAACGTTGAATAGGAAACCTGACCTCTAACATCTGGATTCATCTCAGAACACTGGCACGCTGCATTTAACACCATCTACTTCTTTAGCAGATGTAGAAACAGTGTTGTCTTTGGACTCATTTGAACTACAATACTTGGAAATTGAAAGACAGGACACCACTCTCCTTTCACTAACACTATCTGGAAGTGAGAGGAGTTACAAAGTTATGAAGGGGCCTCTATAGTGTAATAATGAATCCATGAGTGAAAGTTATATAACTTGTTGTTTCTGACTATACTGCTGTTTTCTAAAACTAATAATTCTGGGGAGTTTGTAAAGTGCTTGTCCATGAGTTCAGATTCCTAGCACCCATGGAAAAAGCCAGGCACGGTGGTACATGTCTATAACCCCAGCGCTAAGGGGTAGAGACAGGAGGAGGATCTTTGGGGCTTCCTAGTCAAATAATCCAGCCAACCAGTGAGCTTCAGGTTTAGTGAAAGACTCTGTGTCAAAAAACATGGGCGTTGGTGGTGCACGCCTTTAGTCCCAGCACTTGGGAGGCAGAGGCAGGCGGATCTCTGTGAGTTCGAGGCCAGACTGGTCCACAGGGTCAGGATAGGCTCCAAAGCTGCACAGAGAAACCCTGTCTCGAAAACAAAACAAAACAGAAAAAAAAACAAAAACAAACCATAAGGAAGATAAGCATGCACATGCATACACATGAACATTACACACATAACCTCCCCTAGTAATTTTACATTGCATGACTCTTGGTTAACTGTACAAACAGCACATTTGAGGGTCTGAAGAGGTGGCTCAGTTGTTGAGAGCACTTGTTGTTTCTGTAGAGGACGCAGGTTTGGCTCCCAGAACCTACAGAGCACTGTCTGTAACTCCAGTTCCAGGCAATCTGATGGCCTCTTCTACCCCCCTATGAGCATCAGGCATGTATGTGGTCATTGATACATACAAACAGACAAACACTCACACACTGAAAATTAAATCTAAAAAATTTTAAAAATAACTTACTTTTTGATCATGTCAGTCATATTCCATTTTGTTACTAATGAGAGAAAAATCTAAAATTTAATTAAGAACTACATTGTCTTGGACAAATGGCTAACTATCTGCCTAACAATTCCTCAAGTACCTATGATATGAAGTAAAATTAAAGATGGTTTGTCTCTGATATCTTTACAAATACCAAACCAGTATTATGATGTAGCTAGGAACTGAAAATGAAAAATTTAAATGTCAATTTATTTATTTATTTATTTTGGTTTTTCGAGACAGGGTTTCTCTGTGGCTTTGGAGGCTGTCCTGGAACTCTTGTAGACCAGGCTGGTCTCGAACTCAGAGATCCACCTGCCTCTGCCTCCCGAGTGCTGGGATTAAAGGCGTGCACCACCAACGCCCAGCTAAATGTCAATTCTTAAAATGAAACCTACATCTATTTAATGTGTAGATTAAATTTATCCCAAGTGCCACTTTTTTTTTTAACAGAAAACATGCTACAAGCCTTTTCCAATGGCGACTCATGGTGTAGTTTGTGCCATTCCACACCAACAGTTAAATCATAAATCTGTACGCTTTCAGGCCTCTACCTCGAGGGGAGGCCAGGTCTGAATCAATCATGGGTGAGAGGTTTCTGTGTTAATAATACAAGGGCCCAATCAGAATGCTCAGAGCACCTCGATATCCCTCGGGAGCAGAAGGCTCACACTGGTCCTCACTTCAAGATAGTCTCCTTAGGAGCACACCAAAGAACACAGCTTTGTTGGAGATTTTTCCCAACTACTGCAAACTGTCACCTTCATCATCCCATTGCCAAGAGGCACAAGACAAAGAAAGACCCACCATTTAAGATGACTCCCTACTCTCATGACACTGTGTGGGACCAAATGCCTGGAGATTAAAACTGGACAGCTGGAAGAACTTCAGCACAAACTGGATTCATTCAAGAAGAGAAAAGCATGTGTTACTTTCCTATTAACATGTAATAGGTTCAGAATCACACCTCATTCCCTAGTTTTTAGCTTCATTTTGGCTTGCTGTAAGGATTGACAGGAGATACGTGAGCTTTACTGGGCAAGGAGGCCTACCTAGAAGGTACAACACCTCTTTATACACATATTCACAACAGGAAAAGAGATAGAAAGCGATTCCACTATGACATTCCCTAGCACAGATAAAAACTCTTAGTACTGTTTTCTCTGTGTGTGTTTCCCTAAAAAAAGACAACCTTGGGGAGGCAGATGAGCAAGAAAGAGCATGTAAGGATAGAGACAAGAATATTTCAAATTTTAAGCTCATCTCTCCCCTTGATCCCTCTCCAATTTATTCCCTCTGTCTCAAAAAAAAAAAAAAAATCAGAACTAAAGATCCAAAGCATGTGAGACAGGAAATGAGTAAGGCAGGAAGAGGATGTGGTCTGAAAAAGCGTGGATTCTGGGGCTGAGCCAGAGCAAATAGGCAGCCCAGGTCAGAGCTGGGGGAAGGGGATCTCTGGCAGAAAAGACAATCTCAGGGTCAGTCAGCTTAGACTCAAGTCAATGACAGACTCAGAACAAAACACCTTCCTATGAGGTTGTCCTCCACAAGAGAGTGCAGAGCCCACAGACATGTTTGGAGACCTGCAGCCAGAAAACTGTTTCTGCCACAGAAGGAAGGGGTTGGCAGTTTCCTCTTCACTTCCAGGGAAGGAAGCAGTATGTATGAAGCCCACTTGGCAGAGGTAAATTAAAAACTAAATCAGGGCATAGGGGAAAGTTGGAAGGGTCTAAAGCCATGGGTTCCATTACCATTGTCATAAACAAACACCCAGAAAAGTGCAAAGGGCTAGAAGGCAGCTACAGGATAAAATATCAACATTCACTAAATGCCCACAGCCACATTAGCCAGGAACATTGAAGGGAAGAGAGGAGTGGGTGAAAACAAGCTGTATATTCCTGAGTCCCAAGAACCACAGCACAGTGGACTAAAACTTCAGGGGGAAAAAAGACATCTGTTCTCTGTGGTATATAAAGGCAAGCCTGGAGACATCTTGGGTGAGCAGGGAAGCAGAACTCATATTATAGTGCCAGGAGAGAGCAGGTGCCAAAGGAGCACCACTCCCCATCTGCTGGACGCTGGGTAAAACAAACCACCCTGTAAAGAAGCCAAGCCGTCCCCACCTCACTGGGGCAAGTACTTAGGAGCAGAAATGAACAGTGGATAAAAGTGTGAAGATTCCCAAACAATCTGGATGCTGGGGGCTATCTTTTACTAAACTGCCTGTGGAGCTCAACATAGTGTTTTATATAAAACAGGTCTGGTAAAATGTGCCAAATTGAACTGAACAAGACCAGAGTTGTTCAGCTGTGGGGCTGTTGGAAGATTCAAGATGAAATCTCTTGCCCTGATGACTATGTTAATAAACTACTTTTTATTTTCCAGGCAAAATGATGGGACTCCCTACAACTCCTGGCGACCCAAATCTAAACACTAGCCATAGGTCTGCAGCACTCTGTGGGAATAAAAGCGCAGGGGGGGGGCAGAGAGAGAGAGAGAGAGAGAGAGAGAGAAAGAGAGAAAGAGAGAGAGAGAGAGAGAGAGAGAGAGAGAGAGAGACTCTGTGTGCAGAAATACAAGAACAAGGAACAATTCCCTTGCTTCATTAGCCTGTAATATTCACACTGACCTAGAAATCCTAGCAGTTCTAACATTTGGGTTGACTCAGGAGGGGTTAGAAAAATCCCAGGTGAATGATAATTGGATTACCCAGTAATGCCCCAGGGCCAAAAGGCTGAAAAAGGCCAGGACAGTGGGGTCTGGTACAGTGAAAGTGACATTACTTTCTAAACCTAAAATTGAGAGCTCAGGCTGGCAACGAGATGGAATAGTTTAAATTAGGGCTGGCCTAGGAAAATTGCGGACACAGGAGGATTTAAGTCCGTAGTTAACTTCACAGGACATCCTCTGGGCCTAATATGCTAATAGAGGGGATTAAGGATCAAGGATGGGAAAAGTCGCAGGGGGAAAGCTGTCATTGATTTGTAAAGGAGGAGTAAGAAAAGTGAGCTCAGCAGACAGCACTGAAAGGTAGGCCGACTAGGTCTGGCGTGGGAAGTCAAGTTGATGGGAACTGTTAGTATTAAGCTAGCGAAACCTTCGGCAGCTAAGGGGCGGCGGGGTCTCACTGGCACAGACTGGCACACGACGAGGGTAATCGGTGCTTAGGCGTTCTGGCGGCAACTTCACAGGTTCGCATTCTGGCCGTGCATATTACCTCCCTCTCTCTGGACGTCAATTTAAACAGACGCTCAGACTCCGGATTTAACGGAAGGAGCCCCCAGACGCAGCATACCTTCGTTTGGCACCGGAGGGTGAGAAAACGCTCTTCTAAAAATGGAAGAGGAGCCACAGAACAGCTTGCCCTTTCCCATCAATACAAGCCCCCGCGGGACGCGGGACACGGGGATCCGGAGGCCCGGAGCGGGAGCATTGGCCGGCGGGACCGAGAGCGGAG